TATTATTGTTATAAATTTAATAATTACTTACTATTTCAAAATCATATGGTGTACTGTGAAATGCTGTTAAAAAATTAAAGATATCGTAAAAAAAAAAAAAATTATTTAATACTCAATATACAACCTATGAAATCTTGAGACTATTACAATTAAAATAGAAAATTTTCAATTATACCTTCTAGTTTTATTAAAAAAAATAAATAAATAAATAAAAAAATAGAATCATCACAGCTGCTGAACCAAGACCTCCCGAGCCTAAAATTTTTTAAAAAAGTTAATGAATTAAAGAAAAAATATTCCGAAATGAAAAATGGGCGCTTACCATAGTTCTACAGCGGTAAGCGGTAAGAACATACATTACATCTTAAAAATGAGAGAAAAAAGTATTTAGTAAAAAAAAAAAATATTTTCAAAACGAAAGAATTGTGCCTGCTGTAGTACTGCGGCATCACCAATAATAAAATTCTTGATATGTAGATATCTAGCCAGAATATTCTTTCAGTTATACGTGACTTATGAAAACGAGTAATGGTATATTTACTATTTTAAATAGAGTCATTTCATTTATTATTTCATTTGGATGTTTTGAAAACGCTAAACAAGTTACGGTTAAAGATACCTTATTTAAATTAAAAATCCACTGACTAAGTATACGAGAAGACATATAGCTATACTTGTATGATGAGAATGCTTTTTCTTCTTGCTTATGTTTTTATTACGTATCCTAAAACGTGCACCGCTTGCTTTTTAAGCAAATAAGGTTTTTGCAAAGACTTATTATGATAGAAAGCGTGGCGAAATTAAAGAAGATACTGTAAGATTAATAATTTAAGCTCGTCGTCAATATTAAAGTATATTTACTTCAAATTCAGAAGGACGTTGTAAAAATTATTAAATTTTAAATTTTACCGAAAATAGTGACGTTATGCGACAATATTCGGAGAAAAAATCCGCATAAAATACTTAAAAGGCGCTTAGGTGATTAACCTTATATGGGTGTACTTTTTTAGAAGGTGGTATTTATGGAATTCGTTCGTATAATTAAACGTGAATTGAAAGAATGTTGTAAAAAAAAAATATAACCCAAACCATCTTTAATCTAGCTGGCTTTATATATTATTATTTAATTAATTAGAAAAGATTTCAAAAGAAAAAAGAACTAAGATCGAATTATCAATTTAATGTAAAGATAACTTTTTAATTGAAATGAAATGATCTTACTCTGAACATTAACGTACTAGAGAATGACTTATTTTTAATTCGGTTAATATAGTTATTCTATTTTAATTATTGTCTTAACTTGTTATATTAATAGAATTTTGCTAACTTTCTCTCTGGGAGATGTCACCTAGGTGACGTCACCTGTACTAAAAATTAAAATTTATAACTTTTATTACTGTAAATTTCAACCTTTAAAATGACATCATCAAATTAACAACTCCAGCGAACCAAACCGTACCCTAATCCTAGTCCCCTAACCATAATCCTAACCCTAATGCTAATCCCTAACCCTAAATCTCTAAATCCCTAAATCCCTAACTCTAACCCTAACCCTAACTAATCTACTATTTTTTTTATGAGTAATGTAATATACATACATACCAGATTCACATGATTTAATTTTACATAGGTGATGTCACCTGGGTTAAATCACATGGGGAGAAAACTAGTCATATACATATTAATAAATAAAATTTTTCGATTGTATCACAAAACTATATAAGAAGTTCTTGTTCCTAAAAATACAATAAAATTAACATTTGAAGTTGACACACAACGGCTAGGAATGGGGACGACTCTCGGTTCCGAACAGACACTACCGAGTTGACTTAATTGAGTTTTACCTCAGAAAATTTACAAATTATGTAATTTAATTTAATAGAATTTCTTAATTTGACAACCATATAAGAAATAGAGTTCGTTATACGCTTATTATTTGAAACAAATATATAATCATACTAGTCTGACTTGAATCTAAGCTCTAATGCAAATAATGTAAATACGGTATATGACGAATTTAGTAAATTCCACATCATTTTTACTTGCATTATTTATTATCGTTAAAATTTATATTGCTCTATATACTGTGATATCATTAAATCTAATGCAAATTTTATTATGGTGATGCAAAATTTCGATTATCACTTATCAGTAAGAACGAAACATTAACATAGACATTACATCAATAATACTTTATATAATAATTACGTGACGTCATCCAAGTGACACACATATTATTACGTGTTAGAAATAACAACAAAAACTATAGCTTTTGAGATATCAAAATAGTATGTAGTATGTACCCAATGTACCCACCAATGCACAAGATGTCATTAACGTAACAGTTCAAATGCCGTCAAAACTCGTACTAGTCAATTTAAATCTTAAAGATAGCTTATCAAAAATTCGTGTAGTTGTTCGTTTTTCTATATGTACTTTCAGTTATCAAAAAAAAGCTATCAAAATGGATCCTATTAAAAAAATATTATTCAAAAAAATATTAAACAGGTTCTATTAAAAAAAAATATATCAAACGGATCCTTCTATGTATTTGGCCCTACAAGTAATTATATATAAGTATAAACGAATTCTTAATTGCCAATTGTTACACGAACTATTAGTCACAAAATTTAGTTTCTTTCTAAGTTCTAACTGAATTATAAATGAATTTACTATCTATAATCAAATATGATTTCAGCTTTCCGTCCGACTTATATTCCAAAAATTGTAAATTCGTGATCCGCATAAAAAGTAGAGAATTTAACTATTAAAAATTGGGCAATTTTGTTATTTTCTCCTTTATAAACAAGTATGTATTTCTTAAATATAAAGTATTGTGATAAAGTTTTTTTACTATAATTCTAGATTACTGTTTAACTATACTCATGATTTCTAACATGTGTATGCATTGTTGTATGATATTATACAAAATCCAAAAAAGTAAAATTTACTCTATACTAAAGTGTTCATAAAAGTTAATCATTGCAAATTCTAATAACTTATTTCAAAAATATGGATTATTTTGTGCTTTCTCATCGAAAAATTAAAGCAAGGTTACCTGTTAAATTATGATAATTTAAAATTTAAAAAATTACAGTTTCTCTTAATTTTATATACGCATAGTTGTATACCATGTCTTCTGTCAAGTGGACTGGCTACTGGCGTTCATCTCCACAAAGAAATTCTGAGTATCATGCTACTCCAAATAAAAAGAAATGACTTTTTTTGGAGCGATATCGCTAAGAAGATAAACAAATAGGAAATTCTAATTTCACTGGCGAGGATTGTCATGAAAACTTTTCATTATTAATAACATATTTATTTTCATTTGCTAGAATTGTCATTTGGACAAGAACACAATGAAAGCGTTAGGAGGTTAAGCGAGGCAAGTTCGTCATCACCACCATTACATGTAGAAGCATCTATGAATCCGTGGTGCTTTTTAATTTTATAGATGCTCAGGTGATAAAAAGTGAAATGTCGGGTAATTTTCAACATTGCGCAGAAATTTGTGTAATGCCTTCCGACTTCTGAGCTGATGATCACTGCTCAGATGACATTTAAATCGCAAATAGTTTGATAATAAGCCACAAGGTTAACTGATAACTAGTAAACATCTTCTCAATATTACTCTTTAAAAGTTTCTCGATATTGTCAAAGTTTCATATTCTTGTTAATTTCTGTTCTCAAATATTAAAGGTGAGATTTATAATAATATTCAAATGACGGATGGAAAATGACTGTCAGTTAGATCTCTATTACCTATAAAAAGTGAAAAAAAAATAAACTTCGCGCATCATTTTTCTTCTTCTTTATGTACCATAAAAAGATAGAAACAGACGACAATATGAAGTTTGCCGATTCATTTTCGTACTTACCTAGCAACCAAAGTATTTATTGTTTTGACCTAGGAGGGAACGTAGTTCTACGAATAGAAACAATTTATTCTCCCAACGCACGAATTTATTTTACTGACACCAACAACCCGTCTAATAATATAGCAATCCCACCTGGGATTGTTGTCAGAGATACGACCAGGAACCTTATCCTACCTCAAGCATGTTTTCAACCACTTGGTTATTACTTGATACTTTGGTATTACAGCTACGAAATAACTTATAACAATCAAGTAGTTATTGTATTATCAAATCAAGAGCAGCAATCTGTGCAACTCGCCGACGGACTAGTTCATTATCTCGATTGATGTTTATTTTCCTGTGCTTCTTCCATAGTTCGTCAATTTCCGTTCTATTATCTTCTCGTACTGATTTACCCTTTATAACCGTTCATTTGTTGTGGGTTTTATATAACATATTGTATTAATGATAATGTACAAACTTGCATAATTTGCTTTATTGCATAAACAATTATATAAAAAAATATTTTTTTTCTAGGCAAAACATTTTAAAAGAATTTATGCATTTTACATTTACAATAACGGAAAATGGTAGAAATTTTCATAATTTGATAATTTAATCGGGTATAATCGAATATTCCATACAATCCTTCAAAGAAAAAATAATAATACTTTTAAGATTTGTCATATATTTTGATAGGTATTCGTATTCTTTTCGTTTTCTCGTTTATTGTAAAAAAAGATAAAAAAAAGGAGCAAAAAAAGGAAGAAAAAAATAAAGTTTTCAGACATTGTATCGAAAGTTTTGTATGTCAATAACGTTAAAAGTGGAAAATTTAATAATTTATAATTATTGTTTTATTCACATTTACACATTCATCATTATTATTATTATTATTATAGTTTTTATTACCGTATTTCAATTTCGTAATAATAGGGTAAAGTTTTAGTTTATTCCTGGTATTAGGGATTTTTCTTTTTTTTTCATTTATATTCTTTATATCTCTAGGATTGATTTGCTGATACCGCTGTATTGTGATGATTAATTCAATCAGGTAGTTTTTCCGGAATTCCGGTTACACAAGCTGCACTATTCTTTCTATTCTTTCTTTAAAAACTCATTTTTGGTTTATACTCTGTTTTATTTCTCAAAAAAAAAAAAAAATCATTTTTTTTTTACTTGTTTTTTTTTAATAGCTTTTTTTCTTTATTAACGATTTTTATTTTATTTTATTATTATATTTTTTTTTCTTTTTATTTATTACTGACAAATTAAATTTTTTAGCATGGGACAAGATACAAATATTGAAAATGAGAATGATTCCACATCAAATAATGAGGAAGAGCAAGCTTCGAGTTCTGATACAACAGAAAATGTTGTTGGTAACGATAAAATAATCGATAAGTCCGATGAGTCAATTGATGATGTTCATGATAATTTATCAGTCGGCATTTCCAGTAACGAGGAACAAAATATTACCTCCAATTTAATTTATAACCAAGTCGAAAAAGAAATCGAAAATATTGAGACGGGTAAACAAGAAGTGTTCCCATCATCAGATGATGATTATGAACATACTAGTACAAGTCGTATTGATGAGAACTTATATCAAAAAGTTTTAATTGACCAAGAAGAATCAGACAAAAAAACGGAAATTATTGAAGACCGAAAAGATATAAATGATGATGATGATGTATCTAGTGAGACCATTCAAACTTCTCTTCCAAAATCTCAATATACTGAACAACAACGAGAAGATACTTTAGATTATAATAAGCAAACTCATACTTCTAATACAGGGGGTTCGGATGATAAAGAACACAATAAAGAAGAAACTGATATTTCCATTGATAACGATAAAATCATCATTGAGTCCGATGATATAAAAAATAATTCTACAAATACTGGAGATTATGTTTCAGTCGGTGTTTCTGATAAAGACGATGATGAAGATCATAACCCTAGTGCGAATGTTAAAAAAGCGGAGAATGTTGAAACTCTTAAACGAGAAAGTTCTAGTCATTTCAATGTACCACCAGCAGCTGATCAAAAAGTCTTAGCTGGTCAAGAAAATTCTGATCAAGAGACGGACAATGTTGAAAATCGAAAAGAGTTACTCGAACTTTTTGAAGATGATGATTCAATCAATCAAACTGTGACCGTTCAGACATCTTCTCCTAAATCTCGAAATATCCAACATACTTTAGATTATGATAATAATAGGCATGCATCTAAATTATTTAATACAAAGGGATCAGCGAGCGAATTTGAAAGCGGTTCAAAATCTGACTCTTCTCCTAAATCTCGACATATCCAACATACTTTAGATTATGATAATAATAGGCATGCATCTAAATTATTTAATACAAAGGGATCAGCGAGCGAATTTGAAAGCGGTTCAAAATCTGACTCTTCTCCTAAATCTCGACATATCCAACATACTTTAGATTATGATAATAATAGGCATGCATCTAAATTATTTAATACAAAGGGATCAGCGAGCGAATTTGAAAGCGGTTCAAAATCTGACCATGATACAAAAAGTAAAAAGAAATCAAAGAACTATGATGATGATATCAGCGAATTCCCGGACAAGAAAGACAACTTTTTATCTTCAGCGGGATATAATCGTCCAAAGTCTGACCATGATACAAGAAGTAAGAAATCAAAGAAATCAGATACGACCGTAAACTACGACTATGATGTTGATTATGATGATGATATCGGCGAATTCCCGAACAAAAAAGATGACTCTCCATCTCCAACGGGAAAAAATATTAAGAAAGAAAGGTTTGATCCTCCCCATAGAGGAAAAAGCGATGAAATCACTCATCGTCCAAAAAATCAAGATAGTCAAAGTCAGTCTTTACATGGTGATTTATCAGATGAAGAAGCTGAAAACCCAATTTCAAAGTCTCGTAATATTGTGAGAAAACAAGAAAGTGATAATGACGATAACGTTGATTACGGTAGTAATGAAGAAGGTGACATTTCATCTTTAAGGCGTATCAATAAAAAACAGGTAGAAACTCCATATACGAAAAATAAAAATAATCAAAATCTGAAAAAATTGGATAGTGAGAGTGACTCTCAGGATGAGAATGAAGATTATGAGGGAGATGACTCTTCATCTTCAAGCCATTTCAATAAAAAAGATGCCGAGTCTTATTATGAGGAACATTCAAAAGATAAAAATAACCAAAATATGCCTATAAAATTAGTTAATACAAGTGACTCTCAGGACGATAATGAAGATCATGAAGAAAGTTACTCTCGTATCAATAAAGATGATGTTGGGACTGATACCGAAGAATCAATAAATGAAACCACTCGACATAAAAACAATAAAAATCGGTCTACGAAAAAGAAATTAGATAATGTGACTGACTTTCAGGATGAGAGTTATGATGATAATATCAGCGACTCCCAGCAAGATGTCTTTCAATCATCAGAACATAATCGTAATAAGCGAAAAGAGTCTGATGAATCTGAGTCTTACGGAGGACCCAGGGATGATACCACTCATTATCCAGAAAACCACAACGGTCGAAGTGATCATAGAGACAGTAATAACAAAGGAAAGAAAAATTGGATCTCTAACGTGTCCAACGTGTTTAAAGGATTGATTAGTAGTAAGGGTTCGAATGAGATTAAAGTTATCTTCCATGTTCATTGTCCGGAGGATATTGATAATGTTTTTGGAAAACCTGTTGTTCTTGGAAATATAAAAGAACTAGGTCATTGGAAAACTCCTACCATCAAATTTCGTAAAATAAATCAAACGTATTGGCGATCCGAAACAGTTATTATATCTCTATCTGAAGTTGAAAGTAATGAAATTCTATATAAATATGCTATTTGTGTGAATACTAGATATTATGGTAATGGAGAAATAATATTCGAAGGAAATGGTAGTCGAGACAATCGCACGTTGAATATCGAGAGAAATGATCAATTTGACATATTTAAGAGTAATAATCATTATAAATTAAAAAATATACGCGACTTTGCTTTTGTGGACTATATTTTTAATTCCATCAGAGATAATAACCTTAAGGATAAAGTTATGGAATATCAACATTTATTAAAATTTCACTATGATTATACGATCACCTCATCAAATTACAACCGCATTGCTAATCGTATTGATGATGGATTAAATAGAGACAAACTACTTTTCTTATGTCTTCTTTTAGGATACTACACTTTAAAGATGCAATGTCATTTCCATGAACTAAAAAATACATTCCCATCTGGAGTGTTACTTGAAGCACTTTATGACTATAAAGAAGGAACTTTACCTTCAAATACCAAAGACCAAATGTATAGTGGCATTATGATCTTAATCCAGCATAATGCTGCTCTGATGCAGTTTGATTGGCTCACTATTTTTACAATTGCGTCTGAAGTTGATCCTAAATTTTCTTTCATTGATCAGTTGAAATTTTTAAAGTATACTGATGAGGATTTATCGAAATTTATTCAAGGATTAAAAATGGTCAAACCTTACATGGATGGCATTGAACCCGAAATTTATAATAAACTTGCCAAGGTAAATTTAAATATAATTTTTGTTTTCGAAAATTTACAATTAAAATTAATTTTTTTAATATCTTTTATAGTGGTTAATTCAATTATGTAATGATATGGATTACCTTTTTCCGCTTTGGAATGATATTCTTTTCCATAATAACAAAATTGATAAAATTATTTTTAAGAGTTTTAATGACAAACTTCGAGAATTTATCTCTCATGATGATGCTGTTGACTTAGAACATCATTTTAAGAGAGTTCCGGCTGATTATCGATTTGACGTGTCTGAAGTTTTCCGATCTCGTGCTTTGTTTTTATTTGAAGGTTTGAACGGAAATTGGACAAAGGAAAATATCACTGCTATTACAGCCCTTCTTCATGATGATATATATTGGACTAGAGAGGATGTTATTTTATCATTAGATTTGGTATCTCAGTCTAGAACTTTAGAATTATTAGACATATTTCCAGAAATTTTAGATGAGTGGTTCCGTAATGATTTTTTTGATAAGGAGAAGAAGATACCAAAAATCTGTGTAACTTGGTTTAGAAATCTTTTACTCAAACTTGACACAGGTACAAGCACAAGCAATAAAAAAGATAACAACATTGTATTTTTAGTATTTTTACGATTAGAACGCATGTACCCCTTACTTAGTCATCGAAAAAATGTTTGGCAAAGTTTGACAACCATTGCTGTAGATAGGGTTAAAGTGTGCTCGGAATCTCGAATATTTGCCGCAACAAAATTTTTAATTCGGATAGAACAACAAGAAATCAAGACGTTGTTTATAGATATGGTTAAAGAAATGCTAAATAAGTCTGTTCAACAAATTAACGATCAACTAGTAAATAAAATATATACAATATGCGATTGCAAAACAAAGATTTTGACGGTTCCAAACTTGTAAGTTCATTTTGTATATCCTTCTTTGTTTCTAGAAAAAAAAATCAACATTTATTTAATTAACTATTTTTATTAAATAATTTATTAGAATAAGCGAAGAAATTTTGTGTCATATCATGAATAGATTGCAAAGTCAATTTACTGCATCAAATCCTTCAGAATTTCATTTAAATATTCTAGGAGCTAGTGAACTTTGGAGAATTATATTATGCGCTACTGGAGATGTTACAAAACTTCATTCCAATCCATTTGTTAAACGTGTTAAAGCATCTATCAATGAACTCGGTGGATTACTCCGTGAAAAGACGGTTGACATACAATTATTGCAACAGCTCTTGGAATGTAAAAATGAAAGATTATTTCAACATTTTGGTGCCGCTGTTTCCAAAAAGAAAAATATAGGTGATGTGATTGTTTCGCGAGACGAAATCGCGGAACTTAGAAAGCTTTGTAACAACTTTCAAACTCAACTTGATGTCCTTTTTAAGTTTTATACCGAGTTTTGTCCAGCTTCCCAAGTAGAAGATGTGGATGATTACATCCAAGATGTAAAACAACATATGCCAAATTCAAATAAAGTGATGTTGAAAGAGGCAATATCGCCAGATTATTGGGCATTTCATGGAAAAACTTTGGAGAGTGCAGAGCGTTGCTACAAATATAATCAATCTCGATCTTTTCGAAATATCTTTGAAGTTTGTATCCGGGAAGATACTGCTGCCACAAAAGTGGAATACATAGCGCAAAGATTGATACCGGCTGTTTTTGAAAGATATAACGCTATTTGTAAACAATTTAGGGAATGGGAAAAACTTAAAATTTCAGATATGGCTTTGTTTTGTGAAAATGTTACAAATATTAATGCGGAACTTGATTTAATAGATGGATATAAAGGTCACAAGAGTAACAAATTCGTACAAACCCTTGAGTATATTTCAAGGATTCCTCACTGGATTGAACGACTCAAAGAATTAGAAACAGTTTTACAACTTTTTAATATAGCACGTAATAAAGATGATTGGCTAAAAGAATCGATTGACTCTTTAAAAGGCGACTCCTTAAAAGACGATTCTTTAAAAGGCGATTTTTTAAAAAACAATTCTATGAAACTTAGTCAAATAATTAGTTTTTTCGCTAACCTTGATAAAAATCTTTACAATGTTAATGATGAATGTTGGAAATTAATAAAAGAGTTATCAAATGCAGATGATTTTATAAACTTTTTAAAAGAAATTGCTGAGCATGATATCAAAAATTTGATTAATGGTGTGGATGACCATTCGGATGAAAGATTGATTCAAGAGGATACTGTTTCATCGCTTATTCAAGTAAAGCGATTTTTATTACCTTTTATGAATAATAATGAAAGGGAAACTATTAAAAGCTTTTTAGTTTCGTTATCAAATGTTATAGACGAGAATCCTACTTTAGGGAAAAAGATTGCCTTATGTAACAGTTGCAATATGGCATTACGAAATATGTATCAGAGCATTGAAAATCGTGGTGAAGCTACTAAAGAAAAAATTAAGAATGCCGTACAAAATGGATCTTACACCTTTGGACGGGATGAAAAAGAAGACAAGTGTTTTGTTTCGTTAAAATATACTTCTAGGACTTCTAAATCAGAAATGATAATGACTTATAATATGAATGAAATCTTGGATTTACGTGGACGGGCTCTTTTGATTGCAAAACCTAAGATAAGCGAAAATGATGTAACTCATGAAAAAGATGAGGAAATGCCAAAAAATATTATAGATGAGTTTGTTGTTCAAGTTGATTTAGCACAAGAAATAATTGATGTGCTGTCCTTGTTAATTCAGTTGGGGCATTTTGATTACAGAAAGTTTGAAAAAGAATTAATAGGAAAAAATAAAAAAGATAGTATGAAAAAGTATTTGGAATTCTTAAGGGGCGAGCTCAAAAATTGGTAAATGATTTTCTTTATATTCATTTCATTCATTTTTCTCGCTTGCAATAAAGACACTAAGGAATTTACAATTTATAGGCAAACTATAGTAGATAATGCACAAGAAGAGTGTTATTATTTAACATTCTTCCCTGCCCGTCATATTTTGGCGTTCTATGATTATTTCACGTCAGAAAAATTAGATGAAGAAAACGAAGAAGAATGCAAAACATTAATTAGAGTTGTGAACAGCAAAGCTCAATTACCACCTCGTAAGGATATTAAAGGAATCTCACGTGGATCTAAGGATTATTTTAAAATTCTTTGTGAAATTGGAAATGAATTAGAGAAGATTTTCAGAAATATTCAAAAACAACCGCGTAGACTTAAGGCTGCTGGAAAACGCGTAGCATCGGATGTAGTTAAAAGAGGGAAATTATTTATTGCTGCTTGTGCTGACAATATACTAGTCCCAAACATTATTATGTCATTATATGCTAATCATGGATATTATCCGGAACTGTGGCAACTCCTAATATGTACTTCTTCAACTACGATGGAAGAACTAACAATCTTCATAAAAAGAAGTTATTTTGCGTCAGACAATGGCTATGAAGACCACTTATTTTGTATTGCAAATTTAGAATTATTGGACTTTGAATTACAATATGATTTAGTTAATCAAATTAGGTCAATGCAAGAACAAGAGGGCTATCTTTTAGCACTCATTTGTTGCAGAGAGAATGGAATCCATCATCATATTTTAGATCAATTCTCTTCAGATGTTAAGGCAACTAATGGATTAAATAATGATTCCATGAGAAGAATTTATAGGGAATTGTGTCAGAATGTCATACGTGTTTCTTCTGATTTATCAGGACAGGGCAAAACTGAATGGATTAAAGAAGATAGTTTCAAAAAAAAGAAAATTCCACGTAGCTTTTTAATAAGCGATGATATGGAGTTTAGCAGGCTTGTAAGTCAATTAAAAGAATGTAAACTCCGACCTGTAGAAAGTTTACACATAAATATAGTATCAGCTAACTATCCGGGAGACGTCAACATGTTTTTATTTGAATTATTAACTTTGGGTATGGTTTCTACGAATGTTGATATAGCTTGTCTGCCTTCATCAGAAACACCTACACATATATTTATCGAAATAGCTTCAACTACAGAACAGAATATACTTAATTCTCTTCCTATGACAGGATATTTATTATTCAATCATATATCTTGGAATATTAAAAGTTTGAAAGCTTCTCAAGTAATTAATAGTCCAATTCAGGTTACTTGTCATTATTTGAATTTATTGGATCGTAATGATATAGATTCAAAAGAGATCCTCTTCCGGACAGATAAAGCAATTAAAGATCCACTATCAGTAGAACGCTGTCAAAATCTTATTGAAAAATATTTCTTTAATAAAGGCAGCAAAGATATTTCTTCTTTTAGATTTTTTGAAATATTTATTAATGTACTCACAGATCAATTAGTTCGATTTTCATCAAGTCAATTTTTAACTGTAGATAATCTCAAATTAATGGTAAAAGAAACTAACATTAGAAAACTTATATTAAGAACCTTAATAAATGTTTCAAAAGATTTTGCAACCAGATCTATTAAAACAAAAGAGGCACAGATAGAATCTACAAACGCTATAGATGCAGATGATGAAAACGCTCGTCTTGGTACAATAGTTCAATGGGACGACTCAAATCATCTTATAGTATTTTTCAATTCTCAAACTCCCGATTCAATATCAGCATTATATCGAGACAGAAATAAAGTTAATGAAAATGTAAAAATTTTATTAAAAAGTCAAGTAATTGAAGATCGAACGAAATGGGTGTTAGATGATTACAATTCGATGACTCCAGAAGATCTTTTCTTAAAATTAGAGTGTTTGGCACGAAGTTCAACAGAAAAATTAGATCTTCCCGAATATGCTTTATCTGGTGATAACTTAATAAAGATGGCCTTAATTCTTTTAAGAGCACGTGCGAATATTCCAGTGATAGTTTGTGGTGAAGCAGGATGTGGCAAGGTGATTTAATATGTTATTTCATTATCGATGTTTTTTTTTCCAAAAAAAAAAAAAAATATTTATTAAATTCTCGTTTCTTTTATAGACAAGTTTGATCGCTTATCTGGCCTTGATGGTTGAAGTTCAATTCCGGCCACTTAACCTTCACGCCGGAATCGATGAAAAAACTATTATGAGGTTCATGAATGATTCTTTAGAAAAAGCAGAAAAAGGCGAGATTTGGTTATTCTTTGATGAAATCAATACTTGCAATTATATAGGTTTACTCGCTGATTTAATATCCCATCGAATGCTTAATGGGAAACCAATACACCCAAATATCCGTTTATTCGCTGCTTGCAATCCATACCGTCTTCGTACGAAAGCTCAAAGCCAAGCCGGTTTGACAAATAGAGTTAAAAACTTCGAACAAAGTAAACTTGTTTATCAAGTCAAACCACTTCCTGATCAAATTTTAGATTATGTTTGGGACTACGGTATTCTGAAATCAAAAGATGAACACAGATATATTCAAATTATGGTTGGAAAAGAATCAAAAACTTTATTCCATCCTGAATTTACAGAACTTCTATTTGCTTCTCAAGAATTCATTCGTAAGGTTGAGGAACGATATAGTGTGAGCTTACGTGATGTTAAACGAGCTATAAGTTTAGTGAAATTCTTTCATAATTCTCTTCAAAATCGTCCGTTTTGGAGGGAAGGACATACATATCCACCACCTGGTAAACTAACAGTAAGGATCAGATCTTATGTTCTGGCACTTAGTCTTTGTTATCATTCTCGGTTGTATGAACAAGATTTACGTAAACAATATCGTCATGAAATGGAACAAATATTACATGAACATAATCCTTATGTAGGAGAAAATATGTTTGCTAAAATTATTCGTGAAGAACAGGAAGATTATATTAATAGGATGCAATGTCCACCTAATACGGCATATAACGAAGCTTTATTAGAAAATGTTTTGGTTATGATCGTATGCATTTTGACAAAAATCCCTCTGTTCCTTATAGGAGCGCCGGGCTCTTCAAAATCGTTAGCAGTTCGTCTTATAAGCTCAAATTTACGTGGTCCTGATTCAAGTGATAGGTACTTTAGAAAATTAGCACAAGTTTACTTAATTCCACATCAAGGCTCTTCATCTTCAACTTCTGAAGGTATCATAAAAGTTTTTGAGAAGGCAAATAAATTTCAGGAGACAACTTCCAAACAATTTCCTGTTGCTAGTGTTGTTTTACTTGATGAAGGTAATTTTGTTTATTTTCTTATGGTCTTTTTACATTATTAAGTTGTTCACATTATTTATTATTCTTTTTATAGTTGGTTTGGCTGAAACAAGTCCTTTCAATCCATTAAAAGTACTTCACTCTTTGCTTGAACCAAGTTATCCAGATACAGAGCCAACTGTTTCAGTGATAGGGATATCTAACTGGCGCTTAGACAACAGTAAAAGTAGTCGTGCATTACTTGTTCAAAGGTACGATTTTTTTTTACGATTTTTTTTTCAAAAAATTAAATATTAACATACATTTATATAATTTCACAATTTTGTCTTATTTACGATTTTCTTATATCCTCTCTACAGACCACAATTTAATTTGAATGATTTAGTTGATACTGCTGAACGCTTATTAAATGAAAGAGCTATTGCATCTGGTCAGAGAGGCGCCTTAAGACCTTTAGCTAAGGCATATTCAAATTTTGAAAAACATGGCCAATCTTCGTCCAACTTCCACGGTCTTCGTGATTATTATGCACTGGTTAAACGTCTTTCATTAAACGAAATGACTCCGGAGAATATTCAAATGGCATTAGCCCGTAATTTTGGAGGAACAGATAATCATGTCAAATTATGCGATCAATATTTTGGAAATGTTCTAAAAATGTTTAATAACCATAAGCCATGGACATATAAACAAGTTCCAGTCGAACAATTAATTGATACAAACTTAAAAGATTCTGATGCACGACATTTAATGGTTATTGGTAAAAGTGATTCAATTGTAAATTTGCTGACTTATCAGCTAAGAAAGAGAGATCCTGTTGTAATTCTAGGATCACAATTTCCTGATGATCAAGAGGATTATTATTATAGTGTTTTGAGAAAAATTATGGTTAATAATTTAATTTTCAACTCAAAGAGATTTTTTTTTCTAGTTTAATATGCTTATTTATATTAAAAATCATTCTGTCATTTTAGATGTGCGTTGAAGCAGGCAGACCATTGATTTTAACAGATTTAGAAATAATTTATGGTAATTATTTCATTTACTATCATAGTTATAAATAATCAAGTAAATAAAAAAATTTTTTTTTCCTATTTCAATAGGGAGTCTTTACGATTTATGGAATCAAAATTATATTGTGGTAGGAAGTAAAGATAATGTCAAATACTTTACGAGAGTTGCACTTGGAGCGTATGCCAATCCTATGCTGTAAGTGAATTTGTTGAAATTTATCATTCATATTTTATTATTACAAAAATTTTTAAATAATAATAAATTTTTAGTTATGTTTCGCCGAATTTTAAATGTATTCTTGTTATGGATGAGAATAAATTGGCTTTGGCTGATCCTCCACTTCTTAATCGATTTGAAAAACAAAAAATGTCGATTAATGACATACTTGACAATAACCAAAAGTTATTTTATGAAAATTTAAATGATTGGGCAAGAAAATTCTCAACTTTGATCGACAATAATCAAGCAACTCAATCACGTAATAAGTTTACCCAGAAAGATCTATTCATTGGATTTGATAAAAATGAAACCTTACAAAGTTTAATTATCGACATTATGAAGAATAATCCCGAAGCAGATGAAGAAGAAATATTAGAAAAATGCAAAGAATGTTTGATTGCAACGGCGACTTCTGATGGTGTTGTGAGAGCCGAGTTATCAGCTTTAGAGCGAGATGAATTTGAAAAATGGAAGCATGTTTATTTCAATCAACAGCATCATGATAGTCTTTATGATTACTTTGATAATCAAGGAACATCATCGGTTCCTAATGGGCATTTATTAATTATAAACACCTTCTCCAATATCAATACGGATGTTATGTTTTGTTTACGAAAATTTAGTTGTCAAGTAGATAAATTGTCGATTTTTAAGACTGAAGCTCAACTTTCGAATCGGGTAAGTCAAAAGCGGTGATTTATTAAGTTAATGCATGTTTTCTTGTTACTTATACAACTCTGTATTGTAGGTAAAACACTTTTGGTCTGAAGAATCAAATGATCAAATGCTAATCCTCCAATGCGATATAACTACTGTTAGTACTGGTTGTATTAAACTAGCTAAATTAATCATCGAACAATTCCGAAAAGACTTTATAGCAAAGAAAGATCAAATGGAGCATATTGTACCTATGAAGCATGCGTGTATCATTCTTCATATTCATCGAGAGCAGGAATCCACCTTTTCGTCTTTTAATTTCATGTGCGGCTGGAAACAAATAACTATTGAAACATTATCAGGAAGTAACGTTCCTACATCAGGTCTCTTGGATGGGTCTTTATCTCGTATTGTTGATTCTACTTATCCATTTGAAAAAATTTTACAACAAGAACTATTATGGTGTCTATCATGTATGAAATATCCATCGAAAGATAAGTCAATCAATCATATAAAGTAAGTAACGCGTAAAGTAATGATTTTTTGTCCTTCATAAATGTATAATTTTTTTAAAAAATTTTTTTGTTAACCTTTTTTCTTTAGAACAATAAACGAAAAAATCCTAAAGTGCCAAGACTTTATTAAATGTTTGAAAGTAAGAATTCTTGAATGGATCAAACAACAACCTACAAATGATTGGCAATATAAAGTCGCATCAAATAAACAAAATTTATACCCATACCCTTCATTTTCTGCAGCACTACAAACTCACATTAGAACACTGTTTAAGAAACCGATAGCTCAAATTTTATGTGCTTTGGAAAGATTATCAGCAACAAAAACATTTTTCTATATTAAAGAACGAGCAAGATCAAAAGGAAACTATGAGAAATTACTTAAGTTTTGGGAACAGGTTTATATGGATAAGAAAATTGTCAAAATTGAAAATACGCAAAATCCAAAACATGATGGATATAATATGCCGGCAGGAAGTTTACTTGATCTTGAATTCCCATTTTCATTATATTTTATGAACCAAATTAATAGTTTTAAAAGAATTTACGAAGAAGAAATAGCTAAATTACAAGAAGATAATGAGAGAATTGATGAAGAAACCAATGAACTATACGATTACGTGATTGAGGATCATTTGAAAGAATTCAAAGATAATATTCTTACGTCAATACCGCTATTAAAAGAAAAAGATTCTCCATTCGAATGGGAATGGGCTTCTGAACTATATTTCAATGACTTTGTTACTATTATTGCGTCAAAAGATGGTGAAACAAAGAATAAAAAAATGTTAGCGTCAATCTTGAAGTTACTCATCGGTGATAAAACACGCAAACCAATTTTGCTTCATGCATATTGGTGGGAAAATGGCAACGAAGTTTTAGCTCAATTACAATTGGCTCAAATGTCTCCAATGATAATTAAAAATATCGAAATTCAAGGAAATGTTACTGATGGAGGAAATATTGAAAAACATCTTGTCAAAGAATTGATAAAATTGATGTTGAAGCAAATTAGTGGAAATTTCGAAGGCGCAGGAAATTCTCATTCGATTGATAAATGGCAACATGACGTCACAAAAATATTATCTCTTGTTAGTAAGGTAACGCGAGCAAAGAATTTACCAGATCTTCAATTGTTACGTATTGTAAACGATTTAGTTGCGACAAAATCCATTCCTTTAGATAGTATTAGAGAAATTGTTCAACTTGTGTTAAGTTCGGATGAACAAGGAGTTCTCTCAGAGAAATTTGTCAGCACCGTACTTAATAAGCTAGATAAATTAGAACAAAATGAGAAGAATATAATTCCAAGAAGATCATTCATCATGAGATGCCTTGCATTGATTCCAATAGAATCAGAAGTCCGACTAAGTTTATATGAGAAATTATTCTCGAAAGAACCTTTTCCATTAATGGGTGCAATCATCGAAAGAATCTTTCTTAAAGAAGACAGAGATATGTTCTTTTTAGTAATTACAGATTTCGAAGAAGCTTTAATACAATCTCCTCGATTAAATATTATCAATAAATGTTTAGGAGATTTAGATACAAATATGGCTACTTTGTGTTGTGATACCATTGAACAGACCTTCTTCATGAATGAAGAATTAGAAAGTTTAGGGGCTTATATTGGACCGGCTCTTGAAGCTTTATATAAAAAAGGAATACCATCATTACAAAAAATAACTTCTATTGCTTTACTTAAAGAATTCGTTCGTCGATTCTGGGACAGTTTTATTAGGAAAGATAATAATGATCCTGACCAAATGGAGGAAGACGATTTTGATAACGATCTTGATAACGATTTTGTTACTAATGAATTAATTGGTCAAATTAACAATATTTTGACATTCGTTCATCCTTTGATTGATTCTTTCAAAATTTACTTTTTAAGAGATTTATGTCGAAGAGATTTTTCAATGGATGATATTAGAAGATTTTGTGACGCTCAGAAACATCTTTTACCGTGGCTTGGATCTTTCAATTGGGATGAGATTAAAGAAAATCGATTGTCATTTAATCCATATTGTTATTTACCTGAATATAATGTAGCTGAAAATAGTATTATGGATTTCTATAGTGTAGGAAATAAGGCACCTTTTCAAAAATTTGTCCAAAACATGAATCAAAATATGACTTTAACGGCAAAATTATCTTTAACGGGGCTTTTCTTTGTACGTCTTCATGCTTTGAGAGCTTCAAGAGAATGGCAACATTCAGAAGAGCGATCAGAAAAATTCTTGACACAAGAACTCGATGGAATAAATCTTCCAGATTTACTTAAACCAATTGCAACAAATATCTTGTCGAATAAACAACCTCTCCTTAAAATTGATAGCCCGGAAATTAATAATACTGAATTGCTTATAAAATCCGTTATTGCTCATATCATCATATTTCACGCATCGGTTGAACCGAATTCATCTCAATTAGCAATGTATTTACACAAATTACTAGATTGTCAGAACTCGTTTATTTTATCATGCATGTCTGACGTAAAATCAACGGTGTTAAACGCCGTTGCTGGAAAAACAAATACAAACAAACTTACAAGATATGTTTGTAAGTGCGGATATAAATATTTCATCGCAAATTGTGGTGGAACTGTTATTACTAGTAAATGTCCGGAGTGTGGAAATACTATCAGCGGAGTGGGTCATAAACCAGCAGAAGGAAACACTATACTCGATAATAAACCAATTGCTCAATCAGCAAACGATCAAACAGGATACATTGGAGAACTAGCTAATCAAAATTTGTATCACTCTGTCAGATATATGACGCCTACATCATATCGTGTTTTACATTTAATTGTTCATGCTCTTATTGGAGCCTCTGCACCTCAAACTGCCCTTGCCTTCCTTCAAAAAAATGATCAAACTGCCACAGATTCTGAAAATTATTGTATGGACCATATTCGAAATGATTGGGAAATGCTGAAAACCCTTCTTAATTGCTCAGATGAGGTATATTTTATATTTATATTATATATATATTTTTTATCTTATTAAAGTAGATTATAAACTAATAGTCAATTTTTAATTCTAATCAGAATTTGGCGTTAATGTTCCATTCATTAATTTCTTCGATGATGGAAAAACCATTATCGAATCAACGAGTAACAACATCTGCCGAGCGTGAAAAGTGGGAAACAGAATTCAATGATTATATCACACCGCAAATTAAAAATATAAATGAAACGGCAACTAATTATCGTGAAAAATTAAGCGAATCTCGAAACAAAAATCAAAAAGGTAACTTAATTGAAAGTGAAATCAATCAAACTTTAGTTATGGATCAACGATATCGAAGTGAAAATTTACCAAACTTGTGGAGAACGATTGGAATGATTAGTTTCAACAGTTTCCGCGCTTATTATATGAGCGATACGACAAGAAATAACGATTATCCATTCCTCTCAGTATTTTTGAAATATACTCAAGAATTAGAATTACTCGAACATCTTTTACCTATAGTAAAGTTTGTTCAAATTTTGCATTCCAAACTTGGATATCAGTTAGCAAGACAAACTGCAGGAGAAATGACTTTCAGGAAATTTATAGAATTAAATAGTGGTGGTAATAAAGAAATTTTCAATAGCTTGAAAACAGCTTTTGACGACTTTAAACTTGGTTGGAATACAGTAATATCTCTCGTAGATCGGTATCAACTTCCCGATAATAAGCCAACCATTAAAGATGATTCACCAGTTGTTCTTGGTTTAGTGGAACAAAAAGATTCAGGAATTTACTTATGCGCAATTTTATACCATTTAGTTAATATACAAAATAAATTCTTACAAGAAGTCATTGAAATTCCACCTGGAACTTGTAAATCTCTCAAATTTTTAGATGAACCTTCATTTGGTTTTGGATCGTCAATATCAAAAACAAAACCGGAAACACCCAATGGATATTGCCTTCAATCGATGTATCTTGATCAAGTTCGTTCCGTTAATATCATAAATTTTAAGTGGAATGATAGAATTCTTGCATATAGTCAAAGAAATTTAGCAATTGCTAGAGGAGAAGATATTGTTTATGATTTGACAAAAATTGAGATGGAATTGGCAAGTATTTTAGTATTTGAAAAAGTTTATATAGAAACTCAACCAGGTTCACAATTATATCTAGAAGTTTTCCCATATCATTTGGAGTTATTCCAAGGACATATGAGAATTCTAAGTGATATTAAGGATTTAATAAATCAGGAACCAATTCCAATTGAAAAGGTGGATTTATTAGGTTTTTCTAAAAATTCTGGATTGCAACCTGCATTGGAACCAGCTCTAGATAACGCGTCAGAAATTTTATCATCATTGGAGATTCTTTTATGTTTCGTCAAACGTACTGCAGTTGGAGATGGAGAAAAATCAATTAAAAATTATGTTTCACAGTGGATGAAATTATCATCATTAAATGAACATGAAAGATTTTCTAAAATGTTAAAAGTGGATTTACGACTTAAACATTTAGTTTCTTTATACGAACTCGTCGAAGAACAAGTTGCCGATGTTAAAATTAAATATATTCATGAAAAATATAAGGAAGAACTTTCAGCAGATATGAAGATGGCAATAACGAATTCCGTAGATTTTGAACAGCAAACTACAATGAAAAAAGCCATACCAGCAGAAGCGTTCGCTTTAGCTTTAAAACGATTCATGTTACGATATTTAACTTTAGAAAATCAAAAAGAAAAGGAACCGTTATATCATTATTTACGAGATAATAATACATTAAATTTTTGGCCGTCTACAATTCCAGAAGAACTTATTAACAAATTATTTCCGAAAAATTTGTTAGTGGCTAATACATATGAAGCTTATACATTCATTATTAAGGTAAGAAAATTTAATAATTATATAACTTTTTTTTTAGTTTCAATTAATGAATATACTTCAAATTTTAGAAAACGAGGACCAAACAGCAGGCCAAACAGGCCAAGGCTAAGCAGGCTAAACCGGCTAAACAGGCAAAACCTGGCAGAAGAAAGCCTGATGAATTTATTGACAACATGTAGAAATCCTTATTTATTACTTTTTTTTAAAAAAAAATTTATAGTAGTATAGTAGTAGTTTTAGACCATATCACAAAAAATTAGTTTTTTTACAATTATATATAAATATTAAAATCTTGGCTTTTAACTATGTTTCAATTCGAGAAACCATGAATTCTTTGTTATAATGTTGTTGAGTATACGAAAAGACAAACCCTATATTTGTTTTCTTAATATTCTAGGTCAGATCATATACCAAGAGAAGCTATTGCAAAGTTGGTTAGATTTATCAGTACTGTACAACGTTTTTAACTTTATAAGTTCCATAATAACGAAATCAAAAATAAAAAATTCATGTACAGAAGGGAGTGATAATACAAATTAGTCCGGAGTCCGGACGCTAAAAAAAAAGAATTTCAATTTTCCGTACTCAGCGGATCTTTAAAAATAAACTGATTTTCCGTACTAATAATTTTACATTGATCGAATTATCGAATTTGCGAGAATGAATAATATGCTATGAATATTTTCTCTTTCCTTTCTTGGAGTTGCGCTAGATTGGAGGATAATATATTTTCTTCATTCTTCATTAATTTTGTTATCCCTTAAATAATCCTAACACTCTAGGAACTTTGCTTCGGCTTCCTCTCCTGCTTTTATAAAGTCTTCAAAAATAATTCCTCACGGAAGAAATAACTTCTGCATAACTAAAAGTTGAGGGTGATGTGGTACGAAAGTTCAAAGTTGTTACGAAATTTAAAGTAGTACGAAAATATTTCAAATTTTAGTATTAGATTTTAAACGTACGTACTCAAAATTCAAATATAAGGACGTACGTCCGAACGTACAAATAAGCTTTATGGTGCAAAAGTTGAATTATTATGTGATAGTACGCGAAAATTTCATAAAATTTCACATTCTTATGTTTACGATATTTAAAACCTTGTTTGTTCCTAGTTTCGAACAAATTAATTGGAAATATCTTTCACATCATGAGATCCTACTTTTTTTTTAATTCTATAATCTCATTTGTGTATATCTCATTGGGTAAACCTGTATAGTAATTCTTTAATTACCGTGAATTGGGATATTTGGGACATTCTTCCCAGTAAAAAATCCTAAATTTCTTAATTTGATTCGAGTAATTTAATACCTACGCAGAGAGAAAATAGCTGGTCTTGACTTCCTTGAGTTAACAGAAGAAAAACTTAAACAATATGGTATGAAAGGGGACCAGCAACTACCTCTCAAGATATTTACATAGCGTGCAACAGGCCGAGTAGACTACGCAATCAAAAGTCTAGAAGACCTCATTTGTATCACCGAGGGGAAACCGCGCAATGTCAAGTCTACCATACAATTTTATAAATTGATAGAAGATTCAATGTTAACACATTTTATTCTCAGAATCTGGCGCAACTTGAGAGCACGTTCCAGACAAATAAGAAACGAAGCGCAGACCAAGTGTTCAATGAAGATTATTTTGATTATCTCTATGGCATTGTGACCACGGGGACGGAGTGGCACTTTATTATATACACTCCGGATGGTATTTACTGTACAAGCGGTAGTGAGTACCAGATTAACCTCACGAAATCCGCCATCAAAGATAGTCCTGAATTACTTCGTAGTAATGTGAAAAGGGTAATTGGCATCATTGTAGGGTTGTTAAAAGACAGAGTTAGTGTAGATAGTTCTCCTGATAGTAAGAGGGCTAGGATCAAAAAAATTACCAAAAAGTAATATGTATTGCGGGCTACGTCCCGGATCCTGTATTTATTTTCGCATGTATTAATAAAAATTTTTCTTGGAAAAGTGCGTAAATTTTTTAATTTTTTTTTTCTATTGTTACAAGTCCTGAACATTAAGAATTTTATTACCAGAAATATATATGTATCATTTCTACCGGAATTTTATTTCCTTTTTAGGTTCCGCTTTACATCACTATAATCTCATAATTATTAAATCATTTATATACATACTTAGATACCTTTAAAGTTTCAACAAACAGTAAACTCTGTTATAGGGTTAACGTGTTTGGCACGTTTGGCTCTAAGTATCTTATAGCTAGGACCATATATTTTATAAATAAATCCTAATAAAGATGCGTTACAGTTTTTTTTTTTTAAAAAAAAAAAAAAAAAAAGTTTCAACAAACAATTATTACCAACGCTGTTCTTCTTTACTTTATTTTTCGTTGAAATATTTCATTAACTTGTTACCAAGAAAAAAACACGGTAAGAACTAACTCTTTGATCGTAGTATTCAAGTGACGGACGATGGCGAACAGTCAGTTAATTGTTCTTTGTGATCTACATAATTATAGCGAAAAAAAAAATACTTAACTTTCACACGTTATCTGTCTACTTTATACCAAAATGAAAACAGATATTACAATGAGATTCGCCGGTTTGTTCTCGTATATAAATACCAACACATGTTGTGTTGACCTCGGTGGAAACGTCGTTTTAAGAATAGGCTCTCTTGGGTCTCCAAACGGAAGAATATACTTTACGGACAACGCAAATCCACCAAATGACATCCGGATCCCAGCCGGGATTACCGTAACAGATGTCACCAGTGTAACACCTGAGCCCATAGAGAATTATGTTTGCCACCTCAGGTATTAACAAAATGACTCTTTATTAATAATATAAATAAATACAATAATATGCTTGGTTTAATAACATTAAATGATAAAATAAATAATTCATAACAAAATTCGTCTCCTTTTCTCTCAAAAGGTGATCTTCACGCCCTTTTATGTTTGTTCTTGTGTAACTAAATTCATAATTTCAATTCATGGATTTAAATTATTAAAGTATTTCCATTG